GAGAGAGAGAGAGAGAGAGAGAGAGAGAGAGAGAGAGAGAGAGAGAGAAAAGACAGACACTAAATAACATTCTGTCATGAAATAATAATTCAGAGATTCAATTAAATAATACAATAAGTCAATAATATTAATAATAATCAGTAACCAGCTAGCTAAGTTAGCTCAAAACACAAATATCAAAAGATCATGAACTTAACATATTCAGTGAGACTGGGAGGAGGATTCTTTGAATGTTTACTGAGATTTAAACAGCGTGTGTCTTGTCTGCAATGTGAGCGTGGTCTGACCAAAGTAGAGCACTTTGGAGCTGCATTACTAAACGGTGCACAGAAGCTCAGAGACGGATTAGTGCTACTGGGTTCATCATGTTGTGCTGACACAGAGACATGTTCCTCTACTTCCTTCATTATCATGTAGAATTCACCAGCAGCGTTGTGGTGGAAGATGTTCATCATGAAAGAAGGGAGGGATGTTGCCTTGAAGATTGTGAGTTGTGTTGGGACCAGGACTCTACAGAGAACGGTATTCTGGACTCACTTGGAGGAGAAGGGTTTTGAACACAGAGACTTACTGCTGCACACTGATGTAAGATGCTGAGCAGAGGAACATTGTTGTTGACATTAAGTGAGACTTTATGAATCTTTCTTTACATGCAGAAGATGCACAGCTAGAGGACTACCAGTGGCTTCTGGATTCAGTGTGTCTGACAGATCTCCCTTTACTGGTCAACGAAGCTGATTCAGAGCTGCAGGATTCTGATTAACATTCATCAACAGGATCAGTGAAGGAAACACGTTTAAAAGACACAACTGCTGTCAAGTAGGCTTTAACGCTGTGAACTCTCCTCTCATGAAGACAGAAGAGAAACATCAGGACAAAGACATTGTGCAGCTTGACATCTATGAGGAGCAACATGAGAACATCAGAAGAGCTTTACTGAGAGATGAACAGTATCAGTGTTCCACCTGGACAGCTTTGCTGCTGAGAAAGAGATTCTCTCACTGCATGTTTACATTGAGATCAAATGAAGGGAAACACCTGCATGAATGAAGAGTTATGGGACGTACTGATAGAACACAAGTATCCACACCTCAGAAGATGTGCCTTGAACTTGATGAAGAAACATGTCTCCACTTCAGCAACACCAGGTGATGAGCCAGTAGAGTTAAACATGCAAAATAGTCACGTTTGAAAGCAGACAATGTGGAATCTAACGGTACACCGAATAAGGAAGAGACAGGTGAAGGCTCATGAAGGGAGAGAGCACCTCAGAGAGTGTTTTAGAGACACATTCCCAGGATGTAGTTAGGGAGGGACTGAACCAAAACATAGGAAGTAGATTGGCACATAGATGATGTCACTGATGGGCTTACCTGAGCAGGTGAGATCCACGATGGAGGAAGCGGAAACTGATGTTAAACACTCTCTCAGAGCAGATCCAGAGTGAACACAGCCATAGTAGATCCACCACACGGATCTCAGTGAGGACTCCTCTCTTTCTCTGACAGAAACAGCAAAGCCACAGTCCAGATTTCTACAGACAACAGCTGCTTCAATCAGTGTCCAGTCAGAGTAATCTACTGGTCTCCAGTCTCCTTGTTCTTCCACCTCCAGTGTTCCTGCACAGCGACTGACTCCTCTCACCAACCTGACAGGTTCTGAACAGAAACAAGAGAGTCGTCAGTAAAAGAACAAAGTGAGTTTCAGTAGAACAGAAATGAACCAGATCAAAGCTGCAGCTCCTCTTCTACCTGAGCAGGTGAGTCCAACAGCTTTGCCAGGTGAGCAGGTGTTTCTATCTGAGCCTGAGCTTCTACAGTCCAGGAGAGCAGACTCATGGCCTCCACACTGGAACTCTTTGGTCCACATTGGAGCCTCCACTTCGCCGTAGAGCGCCCCCTGGAGGACTGAAGGAGCCCCACAGCCAAGCTCCCTACAGACCACCTCTGCATCCTGCTGGTCAAAGTCATCTTCACACACTGAGGACCACCACTGGTTAGACTGGTTAGACTTCACCTCCAGTCTGCCTGAGCACAGACTCGTCCCATTCACCACCCTGACAGAGTCTGGAGAGATGATAGAGGATGAAAGAGAGAGAGATAAAAGACACCAGACACTAAATAACATTCTGACTTATTTTTATTAGAAGATCTGTGACCCAGAATATAAATGTGTTGATAAAATGATCCCTAACATCTCAAAGAGATGGGGCTGGACTCTCTCCTTCAGGAGTGTCCAGGCTGAAGGACAGTGTGGAGATACTGACGAGCCCCCGGCTGAGCTGAGCTGCTCTAAGTTGTGTCCAGTAGGTCATTGGTGCCTGTTATGGTGGAAACCAAAGAAGCTGCTGGTGGAAACCAGCGAATAAGAAAGCTGTGACGCTGAAGGAGGAGTCCTTTCAGGCTGGTTGGTGGTCGCCCAGAGGACTCCTGGAGCAGCAGACATGGAGGTTTCATATATAAAGATATCTTGGTGCATTCAGCACCTGATTTACTGAGGCAGCAGCTCATCAGACAAGTCTGCTGCCATTCTAGCTGCTGCATGTGTGTGTCCACCTGGATACATTACTGTCATAGATGATGTCACTGATGGGCTTACCTGAGCAGGTGAGATCCAGGCTGGAGTCAGACAAATCTGATGTTAAACAATCTCTCAGAGCAGATCCAGACTGAACACAGAAAGAGGCGATCCTCCACATAGATCTCTCTGAGGAGTCCTCTCTCTGTCTGAAAGAAACAGCAGCGCCACAGTCCAGCTCTCTACAGACAACAGCTGATTCCTTCACGCTCTACCTGAGCTCCACAGCAACAGCAGCAGCATCAACAGGTGATCCATGACGTCCAGGTAGACCGTCTCTCTGTCCGTCTCTCTCCCCGTCTCTCTGTCCATCTGTGTGTCTGTGTGCTGTCCTCGGTGTATATCTGCGTACAGGAAGAGGTGGAGCTTTAGTTTTGCAGAGAAGAGTCTCTGTCACATGATCAGCTTCTGTCCACCATGTTTCCAGTGTGACCAGTGGATCAGACACTTCTTCACTCTGGTGTCTTGTTCTCACTTTGGTCTGACACCAATCTGTTTAGTTATTGTCCTGTACAGCATGTGGGCTCATGGGAGTATAGAACCATATAACTATAGATCTATAGAGCTAGACAAATAGAAATATAGGTTTCATTCTCTTTACAGTTGTTTTAAATATTCTGTGTTTGTTTGAGTCTTATTATAGTAGTTTCATATTTTCTTGTAGTCATTTCACATGTTTGTGGTTTTCTTTAACTTTCATGGTTGTTTGAGTCTCTCTGTAGTTGCATTATGTTTCTTTGTAGTCATTTTGTTATAATGAGTCCTTCATAGAGCTGCAGGATGTGTTCCGCTCTGGACCCATTGGTCCATCTGACTGTCAATCAACAGATCAATATCTCTGTGAGCACATCCAGCACCTACCTGTGTGTTGCTCTGGTGATCATATATCATGTGTACGACAGTGTAGAAATACTCTGTTATAGTTAAAGTACTCATTATGCACAGTGGACCATTTCAGAATAATATTATTTTATTGTATTATAATGATTGAAACATTAAAGAGGACTTATGATCTGTTCTGTTTCCTCCCTGTCCTTTAGTGTATATTATATATATTTATATATATCTTTGTACATTAAAAGGTTGTAAAGGTTCAAAGCCTGAAGTCCAGGACCAAAGGGAGTTACTCTCCCCTCAGAAACTCTTCTCCTGAGCTCCTCAGTTCTTGTCTTTACTTTTAAAGTAGTGATGCCACCAAGTTACACATCTGTATGACAGCTGCCTACCGGCGAGTTTAACACGCCGTCAAACAGAAAGGTAGTGAGAGCGGAGCTGTGGCTCAGTCACAAGAGTTTGGTTTGAGGTGGTCATGTCCAGAAGACGCTGTGTTCTGCTCTGTGAGAGGAAATGTCCTCTTTATGGAGGCGGGGCTTAGTGAGGGAGAAGCACAGCTCCGCACCACGGAGGCTCAGTCGTTAGCTACTGTAGTTAAACAATGTCTGTAAGAGAATCAAATCAGAAGTAGACAGAAGAGGAGTTCAACAACATGACCTCATACAAGTTAACACCACCAACAAAATAGGAGCATTACATGTGAACTGTTAATCTCATCTAAAGCTGTATTAGTAACCTAAATGATGTGTGAGGAGAACGTGATAACCAGCACATTATGGGGTACATCCAAAGTCTCTTAATTGTCATTTCCTTGCTCCTCGCTTGAACCGGAAGTTGTTCTGCTCCTCCATATTGACAGCCGTCCCAAAGCTGTTATTTAGCTCGGAGGAGCGAGGATGGAGGAGGGACCTCGGAGGAGCCATGAGCGAGGACCCACGAGAACAGACTTCCGGGAAGTGTTTTAACGGCCGACACGCCCCCTCATTGTTCATCAGTCATGTGATTGGACGCTGCAGCCGATCGGACTGATGAGATTTTTTTCAACATGTAAACATATTTATATATATAAAGGGTTTCATCTCTCCAGCTCCCTGACTTTAATTGTTTCCATAAAAGTTATTGAGGGAGACATCAGATTACGAAAACACAAATCTTTCTAATAAATGTAGAAAGTTGTTTGTGGTCCTTTTGTTGTTCAGACTACAATGAACATTTATTTAAACCAGATGTTGAATCAGAAAACGAATCAAATATAAAGCTTGAGTTTAATCTGTGATCCGTCTTCACTGTTTACATGTTGAACAAAATCTCATCAGTCCGATCGGCTGCAGCGTCCAATCACATGACTGATGAACAATGAGGGGGCGTGTCGGCCGTTAAAACACTTCTTGGAGTCTGTTCTCGTGGGTCCTCGCTCATGGCTCCTCCGAGGTCCCTCCTCTCTCCTCCATCCTCCATCCTCAGAGCAGGAATAAGAGCTTTGGGACGGCCGTCAATATGGCGGCGCAGAACAACTTCCGGTTCAAGCGAGGATCAAGGAGCGAGGAAACGACAATTAAGAGATTTGAGATGTACCCCCAGACCCGTTTGAGAGGAGAACTTTGAGGAGAACCTTCAGGCCAAAGAGCTGATCCCAGATCAGCCTGACCTCACAATCAGACAGCAGACTAGCAGGAAAGGGAAGCAGCACATGAAGCTTCTCTACTAGCTGCACACCAGACAGGTTTGGCTAGCTGCATGACGTCATGCTAATAACTTATTTAGCTTTTTAAAACAACGGGGACAGATCCAGCACGGACAGCTAGGGAGTGAGGGACATGAAGCACCTGCTGAGACATGATGTATAGTTATATAGATATATATATAGATAGATATATAGATATATATATGTGTGTTTTATATTATAGTGATTATTATATGATATATACATTATTATATTATACCGAGACTAAAATAAGATGTCCCGACGTGTTTATCAAAGTGTTATTTTCTGCTTTTTTTCATGTTGGAATAAAGGTTAAATATTTAACTGTAAAGTAGTTAAACGTGTTTGATACCTTACTGTTTTTGCATTAAATCATTCTGGGATGTTTGCTGACATTGACTGAATGTGGCACAGCCCTACAGAGAACATGTTCCACAGCCCTACAGAGAACATGTTCCACCAGCTCCACTGGTCATCATTCTCATCTTCATTTACTTAAATTAGGCTGTAAAAGTACCCACTATGTCGGCAAAATGGTCGGAGTAATATTATACAACTTGATTATTATTGCTAACGAATTGACATGTAAGCCATATTTTATAAGCTCATTATAATTATATCTTGAATTTGCCTTAGTAAAAAACAAAAAACAGGGAATACTGTAACACACTGACAAAGACAGATAATTTAATTTGTAGTTCTTTCAGGTCATATTGCACCTCAACACAAAGCAACAGCCATCTGTGTGTAATATGAGTCTGCATGAGAGAGCCCAGCAGAGACCAGGACAGCGATGATGAAGATGATGAAGAGCAGCAGACGTTACAGAGGATGTTGATTCTGGTGCAGAGCTGTAATCTACGCAGACTGATCCTGAAGGCACACACACATTTGTTCATTGGCCCTCCTGTTGCCCTTCGTCATAGCACCTCCTCTCCCCTCCTCTCCACCACCTTGTGTTGGAAGCCCCCGTCGTGGCTCCAGTGGGGCCCCCCTCCTCTGCTGTACGGGTTACCGGGCCCCCCTCCTCTGCTTTTGGAAGCACGCCCGTCCCAGTGATAGCGCCCACGGGCCATGGTGTCCGAGTCAGCTCGGTGAGGACCTCTTCTCCTTCCACGGTGGCCCCGACCGCCTGCAGCATCTTTTGGACATTCGGTCTGACCGTCTGGAGACACCAGGCTCTCCTGCTGCTCTGCATAGACGGCCCTGCCCGTCTTAGGCTGACACAACTCTGCATTCACTTGTTGCATCTGGTTCCCCTGAGCTTTGGCTCTTATTGGTCCTTCAGTGCAGCCTGAGGACAGAGACAGTTTGTCCAGGTGCTCCGTGATGGGGGGGGCGGCTCTCCGGTGCTGTGGTCTGGACCGGCCTCCTCTCCTCGGCCCCCTCGCCTGGTTCTGACGCCTCTGGCCCGGACCTCCTCTGCAGTGGGACAGTCCAGAACCAAACTGGTCCGCTCTGACTCCAGCTTCACAGGAGGGAACATGAGAGGCGGAGGGTTCCCGGGTTCCAGGAGAGGTGTCGGCGTCCAGGTTTCCAGCAGCAGGTGGAGTCTGTGGGAGTTGACAAACCTCTGTAAACGTTCTGCGTGACATTATATGGGAACAGTGTTAATAACGCAGCGTTGGAGATGTATTTATCACTTTTAATAGAGTTAGATGACAGCAAGGAGGAGAATTTCCCTCAATTACAGGTACAGCGGCTCAATGCGCATCATTTCTCGAACAGGATTCATCAATTACCTAGTGGCCAAACGCTGGAATTACAGCTTCCTGGTTCATCATGTGACTGTTTCCCATAGACTTACATTAGGAAAGAGACTCGTCTGTAACTCAGCGGATACATTTTATTTTTTTAGGTAGATCCCAGCACGAACACTTGAACAGCGCTTATTTAATCATTGGGTCATAAAAGTTGTAAAACGTACTAATATCTGAATGCAGAGTTATTTTCCTTCCTCTGTTCATGTGAATGAGAACGAGGCTGGAGAACGTTAGTTCTTGCAACACTCCTCACGTAACACCTTTAGAAACACCGGAGCCATTCAAATCTCCAGGTTCCATCATTGAGTTATTCAGTGATGTGTACGACAGAGGAAAACTCTAAATAACAGGCCTAAGAAAAATGAATATAATAAAAATAATAAGCCAAAAATGATATGCAGACCAGCTTTAACAATAGATTATAACGGTTATACACTCAATAAAAAGACACAAGATCAGACAAGACATGCAACATGTAACAGTCCAATCCAAATTTAACAGACGCAATTAAACTAAGAGTCATAGGAAACTTAATCTTCCTCATGCCGGCGTCATGCGTGTTCGTCTACATGTGGCCGTATGACTTCCGACTCTTTCTCACCTCGTTGGTGTGGATGAGGAACCGGTTTGACTCCACCTCTGGGTCGATGATGCCCCCTTTAGACTTCTGTCGTTCCAGAAGCTTCTGCAGTTCACGCCACTTCTGTTGGAACTTTGAGCCGATCGCCGCTTCGTCCAGCTGAGCGAAAGAACACAAAGCCGTTAAATGTTCATATTGTTGACTTTGGAAACAGCTGGTAATGGACCTCATGGTGAGATTGTGAAACCGTGCGTTAGAAGATGTCGTTACCTCCGGCAGCTGAGGGGCCGGAGAGCACAGCAGCTGATCCACATCGTAGGTCAGAGGCTCTCGACACACCGGACACACCACGGTCAGCTCCTAGAGGAGAGGCAGGGCGTCAACAGCTGACTGAGGAAGATGACCAATCACTTCCCTGAGCAGAACTCTTAATCTATGATGTCATACGAGGGTCATTGTAGGAAAAAAACTAAATAATTACGGAGCTGGAGGAGGAGGTGACATTCATAAATACGTGAGAAAAAAAAAAACTCAGAAATTCTCAGACATTAAATTCATAAATTTATAAAAAAATAAACGTTTAACAAATTTCCGTTAAACACCGTGGTAGCGTCGCGTTTGTATGGAAGCCCATTTCAGCAGCCAAAAGAAAAAATAGGTAACTAAAAAAATTAATTAACCCCCCCCCCGAAAAAAGAATTACATTTTTTTTTGCTGGCGGAAAAAAACCTGATTATTATTTTTTAACTTTTTTTCCGCCAGCAAATTTTTTTTAATATTTATAATTCTCTCTTTTTTTTTGCTGGCGGAAATGGGCTTCCATACTTTGTCTGAATTTATACATTACGTTTATTTTGTTCTTTTATGAATATATCAAATAATAACTAGTATAATTTAAAGTTTTGCACTCTGTAGTGTTTAACGCTCTGTGGTGTGAAAGAGTTTTTTCTACTAAATTTGTGACTTTAATCTTTTTCTCTCACAGATGTACGACTTCACAACATCCACGTTTGTTCCTCACAGAGAACACTGTGGGGCGTCGTAGCCATCGTACCTGGCGGTCGGCTCGGTCTCTGGTCTTGTCCTCCTCTAACTCCTTCTCCCTCAGGCGGAGCTCCCTCTCCGAGTGGCTGGCGTAGCGGCCGAGGCAGTGGGAGTGGAAGTAGTGGTAGCAGCTCGTCTTGGAGAAGGTCTCTTCCTCCTGAGGACATCCAGCATCCAGAAGCATGAAGAGGTTATAGAGGCAGATGTTAGGAACATTTCTGGAAACATCCACAGACAAGAGACTGTTTAATCCTGCATTGTATTATTTTATGGCCACTTAGAGGAGCAGAACAAACTGTTAATAAATTGTGTTTTTATTGCTGTGTCATGTATTAACTATGTCCAGCCTGTAAGGCCTTACAAGATGAACGAAGCCAGATCCAGTGTGCCGAGTGTGCATTTGATTTGTCGTCATTATCAATAAATCTGCAGACTATTTTCTCAATTAATTGTACGTTTGACAATATGCCAGAAGATATCCGTCACCGCTCCCTAAAGCTTGTTCCTTTATGTGTTGATGTCTCCTTGTTCTAGAGAGACAGACGGGACGGAAGCAGCGCACCTTGAAGCCGTAGAGGCAGATGACACAGTTTCCATGAGGAATATTACTTTCAGTCAGGATTTCTTTCGCTTTCTGGAGGAGAAGAACAGGAGAGCAGTTAGAAACACGACGTTAAGCAGCAGCACCACCATCATTACCTTATAAGATAATCATCCACTGAAATAATATATTCTCTTAATGATATTAAAAAGCACGACATATAGTGACCTCAATGAGCTGATACAACACAGGTGAACCCAGACAGGACTGAGCCTCCAACTGAAGACACTTCTGGACGCTAAGAGAAAGGGGTTGCACATGATTACAGGCTTTCACACACGAGATTAAACATTGAGCAGAAAGTGGTGCTACGGATCAGTGCGTCAGTCCACAGCTGCAGGAGGTTACCTGCTGATCTTGTCATCAGAAAGACCCCGAGGGTTATGAATGGAGATGGCTGGAGAAGACGAGGGGTACTGAGCACACAAAACAGGGAAGAGAGAGTCACACTTTAGTCATGCATCAGTTAACTGTGAGTCATGGAGAGTGAATGTTGGCATCGCTGTATCAATGAACCTCAACACAGAGACGCGATACCTGCTGATCGAGGGTCAGAGTCAGGGTGAGTCGGACAAACTGGGAGACGGAGTCCTCGGCTGTGGACGGGTACAGGACAAGGCTCACCTCCCAGTCCCTGCAGGAGACAGCACACGCACACACACACACACACACACACACAGACACACACACCTCATCAGATAACAAACCAGGCCGACCCACCAACACAGCATCACAAGTCTACTCAGACGAGACTCCACTACAAGTTTGAGTACCTGAATTCAAGACAGGAAGTAAGCATTAACAGCTAAATGTTTGTAGCGTCTCTGTCCTGTGAGAACCTCGTATCTCTAATAAGAACAAACAAACTGTTTTCAGCTTTGTGACGATGAATTTAACATCTGATCCAAGAGGCTTTATAAAGACTTTATTTAACTTCACTTCATCTGGAGATACGTGGTTTTACCATATACAGTTAAAAGTACAATATGTACCTCTGAGATGTAGAGGAGGATAAGTATAAAGAAGCATACATTATGGTAATACTCCAGTACTTGTACCTGAACTACAAATACAGTACTTAAGTAAACAATACTTCCACCACTGTCTTGTGGAGTAAAGAAATAATTGATGAAATAACCCTTAAAGCTACTGAAGCACAGTTATGTAATTTGAGCCAACGTTGAAGCTAACTTGTTGTCTCACCCGTCTTGTCTCCTGTTGACCAGCAGCTCATCCACATAGATCGACTGCAGCACCTCGATCTCAGACAGCACACTGTGGAGAAAACAAATATCGTATTTATCTTAACTTAACTCCTGTATTTGTTGTTTTATAAACAGGTGTTCATACTCACTACGCTAGCGTTAGCGTGTTAGCTCACACAATGTGTTGCTAAGTTAACGTTAGCTTACATCAGAGCTGCTAACGTCACATTTCATCATTTTACTTTAAGCTCATTAACCGTCACTGAATATATAAACTGTGGGTTAAGTACAAGGAGTGTCATGGTGTGTGTTTAAGGTTCAAAAGGAAATATTTACGAAGTTATTAAAACTCACTCGCTCTCCGCCATGACGGTGTTTCTATGAGCCGCTATTCAGCTAGCATTAGCTAACGTTAGCTGCTACACGGAGCTTTTTAAACGTGACACAACACCGGTAAAAAATTATCGTTAACTCGATCCCTGACGACGCTAAAAATCACGCAACCTCACGACACATGTGACCCGATGTGACGTCTGCAGCAAGCGTAACATCCATATTCATGAAGCCGAAAGGAAATGTTGATACTGCTGCCGACATTGAAGGTCTTTACCGGAAATATATCCATGTTATTGTGTATGACTTTATGGATGTTTGAGGGTGTTCATCGCCCTCCAGTGGCCACAGTGCGTAACTACCACTATGTTTTCTAAATATTATTATTATTAATAAACCCAAGTATGGGACAAGCCCAAAACATGTGTAGTGAGTTGGCTACAGTTGGTCAATGGTTACATCTTGAGTCATAATATGTGAATAATTTGGAAATATTACTTTAAAGGGAGTATACTACACAGTAGATGTACACTACACATTTGGGGATTGTTATTAGAAAATGGCCGCAAACCAGAAAATAAGAAATAAAATAATTCCCGCTGTGGTCAAAGAAACTAAAAGATGTTAAGGATTTCTTTCTGACATTACATAATGCAGGATTGTGCAGTCCTCATAGAAATGTACAAACATGGATTTTAATATTTAAATTAGAATATAAACAATCAATTAGGCAATAAAATAGAATAATTTCAAAGCAGTTGTAGTTCCTCACTGTGGCCGCTAAATAAATAGTCGTTATTATAAATGCACACCTGCTTCACACACCTGTCTGTTTTGGTAATAGAAAAGTTATTAAAACAATTTAATAATATTATGATTCATAAAAACAATAATGTTTCAGTATTTTTGTAATAAAGAGTTCTACATGTTGGTAATAATAACGATTATACAGATATTAACACATGTAAACGGAGTATTGCAGTTCCTCACTGTGACACTCATGATTCAATTCAACTATGTTTTGGTAATTTTCAAATTACTTTTTACTATTGTTTGTTCTTATTAAAATTGAAATCATCATTTTTTTGTACATATTATACTTTTTGATTCATTTTTCTCTTTTGCTGTTTTGAGTCATAATTTTAAAAGTTCACATTGTTCACAGGCGGATTTAGCAGAATAAAGTTTCCATAATCGATAATCGTGAGTATATGTCGCCCTCTGTTGGCCAAACACCGTAACAGCAAATGTAAAAGTTTTATTTTGAATGTATCAACCGGAAGTAGTTTTATGCTCAATACATCCAGCTTGATGGTAGTACAGTTAATTGTACTTACTTACTGTGGCCACAAGAGGGCAGTACTAATCATGATTATAATTCACATTAAGTAATCATTTACATGTTTTAAAACTATTTAAACAACTCGTTAATAATACAATTACTACATACATTGATGCTGCCAGTTTGTTGGTAATAATCAAACTAATAATGATTTACAAATATCGACATCAATAAAAATTAAACTGATACTAATATTGTGTATCGCCAACAAATTTAAATATAGTGTTGCAGTTCTTCTCTGTGACCACTGGAGGGCAGTTAATACTCATGATTCAATTTGTGATTTAATATCTTATTATGAAAGATGCTAAAAAATTGCATCATATCATTATAATTGTTATTTATTGAAAACAAATCTATATCTTTCAAGATGTCGCAATGTTTCTGTTTGTATGGAAAACCTGCATTCTCATGATATAAACCGTGCTCAATTGTATAATTGTGTTATATTGTGTTTATTTTTTATGATATTTGTTAATTTTTAATTATTTATTATTTTGTTCAAATTATAATTTATGTACACATTGTTCTTCTTGAATCATTTTTCTGTATTGTTGTTTTGAATCAATAGAGAAAAAGTTCACATTGTTCACAGACGGATTTTGCAGGATAAAGTTTTATTTTTTAATGTTTTGACCGGAAGCATTTCTATGCTCATTGTGTCCAGCTTGATGCTTGCATTATTGTAGTTACTCACTGCGGTCACTAGAGGGCGGCTATACTCTATAATTCTGAATAAATATAAAGTGACCGTTCGTCATGTTATAATATTATTAAAACAACTCGTTTTTAATACAATTCTTACAAATATGGATGCAACCATTTGTTTGTGATAACTACAATAATAATTATTAGTACATATTTATGTTGATAACAGTTATACTGATATTAATACTACGTACAGCCACACATTTAAATTGAGTGCTGCAGTTCCTCACAATGACCACTGGAGGGCACAATTCTAAACACATTCAATTGTCAAGTTAGCCAGTGTTAGATATAGACACGATATCATAGTAACACTTCCTGTGACCCTTCGAAATAAAACTACCAGCAAGAAAGTGCAGTTACCGAGTTACTGTTAGGAGGCAGCATTCAGTTTTGACTTCTTTATTCAAAGAAGAAGAAGAAGACGACTAAGAAGAAGAAGAAGAAGAAGAAGTAAACCCGCGATACCCAAGCAGGAACCATGTAACGTGATTTCAAATTCATTTTACAGAAGAAAGCTATTATTATAATATTATTATGAATAAAACACATGTGAGATAAAGGATATAATGCGTTTTAGTGACGTTCCACAGACTCGTGCGACGCTCTAAACACGACAAGAACAAATCCAAAGTTTAAATGTTGCACTCACGCGAGCTAGTCCGTTGTTTCTGAAGAAAGTCCAAAAGAAGAAAATGGAAGATGTCGTCATGGAATCGGACTCGGTCGAGATGTCTGGACCTGCACCAGAACAACGGGTCTCTGATGCTTGGGAGACCGTCACTGCAGCGCTGGTGAGCTTCATCTCCGGACTCACGAGACAGACAACACGGACAGAACCGAAGTCCATTCTAATATTTCACGATTTAATGTTTTCTAGTTTGTGGCATGAACCCCAGCCGGTGTGACATTACGTAGGACGGGTCACTGACTAGTGGGGGGGCTTCGGCTAAATTCGGCATACTTTATTGTTTACCTTTCCTTTATTTACATCTGTCTGGATGTGCTGCAGTCAAACTTAGCTCACTGATTCAGGTCTGCAGATAAAGACAACCGCATCCAGTGGATGGCACGCCTTTGGCTGGAGTGTTCTAGTGTTTCATGTGAGACCAGCATGGACAGATGGTTCTATGTTCTAGATGTTAGGTTGCATCAACAGTATCTGATGATCAGATGGTTCTATGTTCTAGATGTTAGGTTGCATAGACGGTATCTGATGATCAGATGGTTCTATGTTCTAGATGTTAGGTTGCATAGACGGTATCTGATGATTAGATGGTTCTATGTCCTAGATGTTAGGTTGCATAGACGTATCTGATGATTAGATGGTTCTATGTCCTAGATGTTAGGTTGCATAGACGTATCTGATGATTAGATGGTTCTATGTTCTAGATGTTAGGTTGCATAGACGTATCTGATGATCAGATGGTTCTATGTTCCAGATGTTAGGTTGCATAGACGGTATCTGATGATTAGATGGTTCTATGTTCTAGATGTTAGGTTGCATAGACGTATCTGATGATCAGATGGTTCTATGTTCTAGATGTTAGGTTGCATCGACAGTATCTGATGATCAGATGGTTCTGTGTTCTAGATGTCTCCAGGCTGCTCGGTGGTGGATCGGAGCCTCTCGGAGTCTCTGGCCCTGCTGTGTGGTCAGGGTCTGGGCCGGCTGCTGGGCGGCTGGCTGCTGGAGACTCTGCAGACGCGTCTGTCCTCCTCTGTGGTTCCCGAGTTCTGGTCCGGACTCAAACAGCCGGAGAACGAGCTGGAGGAGCGAGGCCGGGCCTGGGTTCTCCTCACCGCCTTTCGGACTCTGTTGGACCGCCTGGAACCTTTTCTGGGCGAGTGGAACAAATATAAAGAGTTTATAATGATTTATACGGAGCAGAAACTGTATTCTAACATCCCTCGTCCTCCTTTAGGTGGTCTGAAGAAGCTGGGGTCGTGGCAAGACGAGGGCCGCGGTCTCAGTCTGTGTGGCCCCGGACCCGGGGGCCTCCAGGATCGGGCCTTCACCATCATCAGGGCCCTCCTCCTCTTCTCCCCCTCGCCCGTTCTGCAGGAGCGAGTGCTGGAGTTCTACAGCAGGACCTTCTCCGTCTACATGCACCAGGAGGGCCAGGCCGAGGACGGGGCCGAGCTGCAGGACGGCCCCGAGCGGGGGGTCTGTCCGGGCTGCGGGGTCCCAACGCAGCAGTGCTGGTGTAAGGAGGCCCTGGAGCAGCTGCAGGACCTCAGCCACATACTGTGAGTGGACTCAGAGAAGATGATGGAGGACGAGTAACACACTCGGAGCATTTATTATCTGAAGTCAGGAGAAGAAAAGAGTCGACTTCATACTTTATTTATTATAAAACTTGCCTTTCTTCATGGAGCTTCAACCAGATTAACTAAATATAACTAAATGCATATCCTGTATGTGTTCTGAGGGTGTGCGGTTGATTGTTTTAGTTTCTGTTGCAGCTCCAGACTGCAGCTGCTGGAGTGGGTCAGCTCCGAGGCCGTCACCTCCATCCTGCACAAGCTCATCGAGCAGCGGATGGAGCAGCACTGCAGAGGAGAGTACGAACGCTCCTTCCTGCTGGAGTTCCAGGAGGTAAAACCTGCCTGCCTGCCTGCCTGCCTGGGATAAAACCTTCATTCATAATAACATGTGTTTCTGTGAGCAGTGGTTGGAGCTGGTGCTCGGCTGGCTGAGCAAAGTGTTTGCAAGTGAGGTGGACAGAGACGGTCCTGTACCTGCTCCCGGTGATCCCGGTGCTCCCAGCATCCAGCCCGGCAGCTCCGTCCTGAAGCAGTGGAGATGCCACATGCACCAGTTCTTCTGCAGGATCTACGTCAACATGAGGATCGAGGAGCTCTTCAGTATAATCAGAGGTGAGAGAGAACAATGTGTCAAAGGGCTCCAGTCTTTATGCTAAGCTAAGCAAACCTCTGGAGAACTCGGATACAACATCCCTCTCATGTTTATTTACCTCTCCGTCAGATTTCCCAGAATCCAAAGCGGCCATCGAGGATCTGAAGTTCTGTCTGGAGAGAACCAACCAGAGGCAGCAGCTCCTCACCTCCTTAAAGTCTGCTTTTGAGAGCCGTCTGCTGCACCCGGGTCAGTTGTTTACTGCAGTGAAAGTAAAGTAAGGAGTTAAACGCAGCGAACATGAAGACACTTTAAGGATCTCTGTTGTTCTCAGGAGTTCACACGTCCGACATCCTCACGGTTTACATCTCGGCCATCAAGGCCCTCAGAGAGCTCGACCCGTCCATGGTCATCCTGCAGGTCGCCTGCCAGCCGATCCGCAAGTACCTCCGGTGAGTCCTTTTATAAAGGTTTAACATAAAGGTTTAACATAAAGGTTTAACATAAAGGTTTAACATAAGTTTAACTAGTTTACGTGCTGATGTGTGCTGGGCTGGATTCTATAATATATATAATATGAAAAGAAACCGTTTCTGGCTGAAAATAGTCAAACTTTGACCTAAACAGCTACTAAACTGAAGCGGATGTTCTTCATCGCGATGGTTGAGTTGTGTTGAAGCCTCTGTGGTGCGTTCAAGGACTCGGGAGGACACGGTGAGGCAGATCGTAGCCGGCCTCACCGGAGACGCCGAGGGCTGCACTGACCTGGCCTCGGAGCTGTCCCGAGGAGACCCGGTGACTCTGGAGATGCAGGACAGCGACGAGGAAGGCAACGACCCCGAGGACTGGAGTCCGGACCCGACCGACGCCGTCCCCGGTCAGTGAACGCACCGTTTGTTATTTCTGCCACTCGTACTCGTCGTCCTCCTCTGTTTGGTGTTTGGTGTTACTGAGAGTTTCTTCTGTTCAGATAAGTTGGGCTCTAAGCGGCGTTCGTCCGACATCATCAGCCTGCTGGTCAGCATCTACGGCAGCAAAGACATCTTCATCGACGAGTACAGAGCCGTGCTGGCCGACCGGCTGCTGCACCAACTCAACTACAACACGGCCAGGTAGGGCTCGGGTTAGGAGGTACCGGTGACCCGGACAGGT